TATGAGGTGGATTGATTCAGTGACTGGGATAATCGGGATGGGAGTGTCAGAGACAGTGTGATTGGCACAGGACAGAGCAGAGTTTAGGGCTGTTGTAAATAGCGTCACTATGAGTTGCAAGCGACTCGACGGCACATAACAAACAACAACAACAACAATATTTTCTTGCTAAAATCTACATTTGCAGAAAAATTACAAATTTGAGGAAATCAAATGCACACCAAGAAAAATCATGATGAGTCCAGAAGACATTATGATATATCTGTTACAAAAGGATAAATAGTGCATAAAACCACTGTTACAATAATAGGATGGTTGGGGGATGGGGAGTGGGAGAGCAGGAGAAGAATGTATAAGCAATGAACACTGGGGCGGGTGAAAGGAAGGACAATCTGCCAGGAATAGCCAATTAGACATCATGTAGATAATTAAGAACCTGGAACAGGCCAAGCGTTACAAAGTGAATTGGGAGAGGGAAAGGGAGGAAAAATGTATGTGGATGGATGAATGAATGAAAAGAACAATCTCTTTGTGGATTCTCACAAAATTCACAGTTTTAAAAGAGAGAAGAAATGGCAATTGGTTGTATGGAAGTGGGCTGTATTTGAAACTGTTATATGAACACCTACTGTACCCTATACCTCATACCCAGAACCTCATTTGTGTGTGCATCTTGTGCAATGTCCCCAGTGGGGCGAGTGTCCAGTAAGTGCCTCAACTCACAGGAGAAGCTCCCAGGGGGACATGATTGTGTTTTCCTGTATGAAGCAGTTGTCACTAATGAAATGACCCAATGAGAGACTCTACAGGGGGGCAGGTAATTTACTTGTCCATAAGCTTTATGTCAAAACCAAAAGTCTCCAACACCCTTGACAAAGCTGTCTTTACAGGATGAACATAAAGTCCAAAAGCCAATTTGAAGAGGGTCAGGATGTCCTAGCTAGATAGTCAGATGACTAGAGCTGCTTTATTCTATTTGTATATAGTTCTAAATCCTGGGTTCTCTGGAAGGACATCCTAACTTAATTTAAAAAAATGAGGAAGAAATAATTCACCTATTCAGGAGCGTCTGGAAGTGGGGGAACGGTCTGTACAATATGTCAAGAAGAGTATTCAGAAGTTTCCAATGAAACGGTTCTGTGTGATAAGTGTGACCAAGAATATCATCAACTGCGTCATAAACCTCATAATGAGTCCAGCTTGACTGATTCAGATGAAAAATGGCTCTGTCCACAGTGTGGTTTTGCAGCAACAACAAAGAGGGGTGGTACACTTAAGAAAGGACCAAATGAAGGGGGGAAAGTAAGGACCAAATGGCAAAGCATTGCAAGTCATGAAACTGACGTGACCCTAAAGCAGGGTAGACCTTGAATAGGATGCAGGTCATAGACCAATGTTCAGCACTGTTACTGTTATCGTGGAGACTCTGGAGACGGGTATTTAGAGGCTGCAGCGATGCAAATTTAACCAGTGGTTTCATGAAGCTTGCGTGCAATGCCTTCAAAAGCCAATGCTATTTGGAGACAGGTTTTACACATTTGTTTCCTCTGTCTGCAGTTCTGACCCAGAATACCTCAAGCACCTACCACTGCAATGGGTAGCTGTAGCACGCCTGTGCCTTTACAGCCTACGTGCTATTAATTTGATTCTGAACTTGGGCTCATGACATACATTAATGAAAACTAGACTAGATGACACACTGGAGAGTGGGAAGATACACCAAAATCCGAAAGATACGAGCGTGTTCTGGAGGCATGAAATGATTACAAGACTGTATTTATGTCTGGAAAGAAATAAAGAAGAAACATTTGGATTGCAAATTCATGTTCCTCCTTTGCCACCAAATATCATTTTCAAAGCAGAAAAAGAACCTGAAGGAACATCCCATGAAAAGGCAGAAAGGCATCCAAACCTCTGTCTGATTCAAGGAAGTAAGCAATGGCCTACAAAAACAAAACAAAACATAACAGGAAAGAAAACGTCTTTTTTGTTCATAGACAAGAAAAGGGATTCAAAAACCTACTGAGCCCCCTTGGATAAGGAATCCGTTTCAGAGAGCCCTACTTCAGGCTGACCTTGTTCCACACTGAGAACTGAGGGGACGGCACATTCATCTAACTCCTCAGATGTGGGCTTCGCACGGGCTTCCAGTGCAAACGAATCGACCTCGTCCAGCCTTTCCAGGCATTATGGATTATCCGTCTCCAGAAAAAGAACTCATACGGGAAGATCTTGGCCTGCTGCAATACCACATTAGAGGAGGAAAAGAGGCCATCTTCCAAGAACAACACTCCAGACTCAGAATTCAGAAATTATAAAAGATGATGATGGCAACAAAGATTATCTATTTCATGAACTCAGCACAGAGATTCTGAATAACTTAGCAGATCAGGACCTACAACTCGATCATCTTAAAAACTCCATTACCAACTATTTTGGTGTTGCAGGTGGAATAGCTTGTGGAATGACCCTAGATGGAAAGATGTGGTATCTTGTGGGACCGGAAGCAGTAACTGCAGGCTGACTGTTCACTGCACTCTCATTTCTGTAGCTACAATTAATTCAAAGCCCTAATGAAGGATCACTTTTTGTAGCTTTTCTTTCTTTTTCAAGTCTGTAGAATGCTTTTAAAGATAGGATATTAAAAATGATTCCAACTAAAAAAATAAAACTATAGAAAAAATCAGTATCTATGGATATTTCTCTTATTTATCTTCTTCATTATCATCATAACTGGAGCAACAGCAGAATGGAGTTTTGACACTTGCCTACTGCGGAAGGTGAGCCTTTTTCGCCTCACTATCACCACCCAGTGGCTCAGAGGGGTAGTGACCAGACCCTCCATAGTGCAGAGGGGAGGGCCCCACTGCCCCTCCCTCAGGCTGACATGGGTTTCCATGGAAATCCCTCTCAGTAGCACCACATGCTGAGAGGCCACCATGGGGCCAGCACTGAGCTGAGGATTCCTGTGTGTTAGTTATCTCATTCAGACCACGTGTCAGTCCCATGAGGTTTTTACTGTTAACTGTTGTCCCCAGGAGTTGGGCCGTGTTCAGAGGATTTTTGCCCTCATTCCAGGCCTTTCTTCCTGATCCATCGTACTCCGGAAATTCCACTAAAACTAGTTCAGCATCAAAATACTATGGTACTGTTCTTGAGGTGCATGGGCAGAATAGAGCCGATTCAAGAGGCCTCTCACATGTTGTTGTTAGGTGCTGTCGAGTTGAATACGACCCATAGTAATTCTATGAACCCTGCCCTGTCCTGTACCATCCTCACATTTTCTGGCACATTCCAGACCATTGGAGCAGTCACTGTGTCAGTACATCTGGTTGAGGGTCTTCCTCTCTATCTCCGTCCCTCCACCTTTCCAAGTATGATGTCCCTCTCCAAAGAACAGCCTCTCCTAGCAACATGCCCAAAGTATATGAGACAAAGCTTTATTATCTTTGCCTCCAACGAGCATTCTGGCTGCACTTTCTCCGAGATGTATTAGTCTGTTCTTTTGGCAATCCATGAGATATTCAGTGCACTTCTCCAACACCACAGCTCAAAGACATCATTTCTTCTGTTATCCTTAGTCCTTGTCCAGCTCTCAGATGTATAAAAAGAGACTGAAAAGACCATGGCATGAATTTGGAGCACCTTAGTCCTCAAACTGACATCATTGCTCCTCAGTAATTTGGAAAGGTCACTGATTTGTAGACTTTCCCAGTGCAATATGTCTCCTGATCTCCTGACTGCTGCTATCAAGGGTGTTGATTGTGAATCCAAGTAAAATGGAATTGTTAACAACTTCAATCTTTTCTCTATCATGATGTTGCCTATTGGTCCAGTGGTAAGAATTTTTGTTTTCTTGATGTTGAGATGCAGTGCATACTGAAGGCTGCAATCTTTCATCTTCTGCAACAAGCACTTCCAGTTCTCACTTGCAGCAAGCAGGGTTGTGTCATCTGCATAATGTAGGTCTTCCTCAGATCTTGATGCCACATTCTTCTTCATAGAGTCCAGCTTCTTGAATAACATATTTAGCATTCAGATTGAATAGGTATGGAGACAGGCTACAATTCAAAACACACAATCTTTCTTCATTTTAAACCATGTAATGTTCTGGCCCAGACTACAGAAAGAGTGGGTCAGGGAGGGTTATTGGGGGCTTGTCTACATTCGAGACCTGTAGCCAGCAGCGATGAACTTCCCCTTCTATGTCCCAGTTCATTAAATGCTTCCATTTCTTAGGCAATGCTAACAATTCACTTTCTTTCCCCCATGAGGTTGTAAATATTTTTTTTAAATGTTTTTCTCTTAACTGAGATTTTAATGAAAGTTTATAGAGAACTTGGATTTCCATTCATTCACTGTTGCACATTTTTCTCCTGACCACCCCACCACCACCACCAAGTTCACTTTTCTCTTTGAGAAAAATTCTTTTATTGCTGCATCATTTCCTCCTTCACCCCCGGACCCAGTCCACCTTGCTATTCAGCTCTTATTCTGGATTACTGTCATGCACATAATACCTAATCATATATCCCTTTTAAACAGTTCTTTCCCTCATCTGCTTCAATGCGGTGTACATTATTTATCCCTCTTTTCTTAGTTTCTGCCCAATCCCCATGTCAGTCTTGTTTTTAACAGTGGAATTATGCAATCTTTGTCCTGTTGTAACTGAGATCTTTCACTCAGCATACTGTCCTCCAGGGTCACCTATTTTGTATAGTATTTTATGAGTTCCTTGTTTTTCAATGCAGCATAGTATTCCATTGTGTGAATATACCACACCTTCTCTATCCATTTGTTTGTTGATAAAATTCACATTTTTAAAAGACACTTTACATAATGTTTTCCAGCATTGGTAAGCATGAAAACAAATGCATGTGACTTCATCCTGACACTACTGCTGCTGTATCCCCTGAGCCTCTTTCCTTTTGCCTGTCTCCAGCCACCTGGTAGCACCCAGGCAAAAACTGGAGATGCCTCCATGCAGGTGCTGGCTCACAAGCTAAAGGTGTAAGTTTAAAGTGCTATGGATTAAATGGCATGCCCCTAAAATATGAGTCAACATGCCTACACCATGATTCTCGGTATTATATAATAATCTGTTTTGTGATCAGATGCAATTACCCTTTATGTTGTAAATCTTAACTTCTACTATGTTAATAAGGCAGAGTTTGTGGAATTTATGCTCTTGTGGCAGGATGCAAGCTATAGGATCAGTCGCTCTCCTTTGAGATACTAAAGTGAGGGAAGCCGAATATCAAATTTAATAATAGTAGACCAAATGCTGTATCAGGAAATGAGGGAGGCTTAATACAAGCTGAAGTTCACCTTGTGGCACTAAGGTGTTCCCTAAGAGTCAACATTGTTCTTAGTTTATATCAACTTAATCCCTCCCTCCTGAGATTAGCATAAAGAGGAACATGGCCTTATCTGCAAAAGACTTCACCATTATCCTTTGTTTTTGTTTTGTACTTCCTTATGATTTTACTTTGTTTACCATCCATCATGGGAACTTTGGCTCCCTGTTTTTCACACTCTCTGTTCTTTATCACTCCTGGTAGTCTGTCTCATTATTAATAATTATAAAAATACTTTACCCTCAGTCTGCAACACAAAAGAGATTAAGCATGCAAGCAGAAAGGAAGACTTAGAGAGTCAGTCCTCAGTACCAGCAAGAAAGAAGAGCCAGAAGTAGAGAAAGCCCTTTGGCCCCACGGTTACTATATACTGAACTTCCTAGATCTGGGAAAAGACTGATGCCAAGATGCATGAAGACTTAAAGAATGCCCAGCTTACAGGTTTTTAAAGGAGAGAAGGTCCTTCCTTCAGAATTGACAGAGAAAGGAGACAAGGACCTCTCCCTAGAGCCGGCGCCCTAGACTCCTAGGCTCCAAATCCATGAGAATGCTCGATAACTAGGACCAAGTGTACGTGCCAAACACACGGGGGCAACTGGGACATCTTCCCACCTCCTCATTGCTGCATGAACCCCAGCATCCCTGACCCCTCCTCACTTTGTGATGGTGAGCAGTGTGGCCTGGGATATAAGGTCCCAAATCTTGATGGTCCTGTCCGATGAGACGGAAGCTATCTTCTGGCTGTTGTGGTCAAAGCAGCATGCTGTTATCAACCTTTCGTGGTGATCTGAAACGGGGAAACAACCCATTAGTATACATTTCACATCCAGCACCTCGTGTGCTTCCTGTGGTCTGGAATGCTCACAACCCCCTCGGTCAGCATCCGCATCACAGAAACATGATCTTTGTTTCTACAGGGAACTATTCACAACTATTCCCTGGGTACCTGCTATGTGTCAGGCTTTAAACAGTGATGTTGTCAAACCTGCTCCCTCCCCCAGCAGAACTCTTGGTCTGACAGAGGAGATGCACTTGGGCAGGCAGCTTCCCGCGAGCATGCACAGGGAGTATAGTCTGAGAAGTGGAAATATGGCAGCCAGTGGGTGCCTCCTCCAAACTTGAGGAGGTCAAAGAAAGGACCTATAGCTTAGCAAGAGAGGTGTAGGGGTGGAATGCAGAGAAGAAATCTACATGCAGAAGGAACCACGTATGCAAATGCCCAGAGATGAAGCTGAGCACAGAAAAGCATGATGTGCAGCTGGAACTTGAAGGATGAGTACGGGGAGACACAGGAAGTAAAAGAGGTGGGATGTGAGAAGTACCGGTCACGGCTTCATGTTGAGGAAAAAGTAAATAGAAAGGACATAGGGGAAGTAGTGCATGTGTGTCTAAGCGCCAACTCACCGAGTTAGAGGAAGCCCCCCAGCAGGCCATGCATTGTTAATAAGAGGTGGTGAAGCGTGAACACCCCCATGGGCTGCCCCAAGAACAGACGAATCTGTCTTGGACGAAGAGCAGCCAGGGTGCTCCTTGGAGGTGAGGATAGTAAAACGTAGACTCATAGGCTTTGGGCATGTTGTTAGGGGGATCAGTCTTTGGAAAAGGACATTAGGCTGAGGGTCAGTAAATCGAGACAGACTGACACAGTGACTGAAAGAAGGGCTTGCACATGGTGAAGATGTCGACGATGGGGCAAGACAGCATGAGGCTTCAATCTGCGCTTTGAAGGACTTGTCGACTCAATGGCCCCTAAGACTACCAGTAGTGAAGAGACAGGACCGGGTAGAAGGCTCTCACCTTTTTTTTTACTTTACATGTCATCAATTTTTTTTTACATTGACTATGTAGTCTGTTTAAACTTTTTATTTTGAGATCACTGTCGATTCACACAGATAAAAGGAATAATACAGAGACCCTGTATGTCCTTATCCTCAAATTCTCCCAATGATAATATCTTACATAATGACAGTACAGTATCGTCAACTAGGAGCACAATGACTATGTCTTTAAGGTTTAAATATGCAGGTAAAAATGTGAAGAAGGCTGACTCTCCGCTCACTAGATAATTAGATTTTACAGGGCGACATTAAATTGGAAAGGAATAAGATTTCATTATTATAAGTAGGAGACTGAATGGAAGTTAAAGAGAATCAGTCTTGGAAAAAATAGATATATTTTATGCATCTATACTCCAAATGTAATGCTGTGGCTTATAGTATGACAGTTTCACAAAACAAAGCAATCAGAAGTCATTGTCAGTCAAAGGTCAAGTGGCTGTTACCATGGCAAAGGGAACACGTGGGAAGTCTGGGTGGCTTCACCTTTGACGAGCGACACAGTGCAGATGTTGACCGCATCCATTACACAGAAGCCATGATTCACGTCCAGGGCAGACACCACATATTTACCATCAGGAGACAACTTACAGGAGACGATGAAGTTTTCATGCTTGACATTCCACTGAAATGGACCAACAATCTAAAGGTTGCCTTCTTTCTGTGGTGATTTTTATGATCACCAATATAGCCTTTCTAAAATGATAAAAATGCTATGTGCATTATCCACTATCGTAGACACCAGTCGCAGTGACCGCCAAGCACTCATAATGTTGCCAGCACATACTGACACTTAATTTTTAAGGTTCATTTTAATGGATTACTTCTAGTTAATAATTCCAATGTTTTCTCTTTACCCTTATATGAAGGAGACCACACCAGTTTTTGGGGACAAATGAACAAGGACAGACACACAGCAGAATTGCTGGAAGGTTCTAGTAATGGTCTGGTTTATTGCTGTTCAGTGGGTTTTTTGTTTGTTTTCACTTTGTTTTATTATTATTATTATTAATTTTAATGAAAATTTCCAGAGACTTTGGATTTCCATTCATTCATTGTTGCACTTTTCTCCCTGCCCACCCCTCCCCACCCAGTACACTCTTCTCTTTGAAAAGTAAAAGAAAAATTCTTTCATTGTTTTACAATCCCTCCCCATAGGGCCACTCTTTATGCAGCCTTCGTTCTGGACTCCTGTCATGACAAAAATACCTAATCACATATCCCTTTTAAATAGTTTTCTCCCTCATCTGTTTCAGTGCAATAAACACTGTTTATCTCATCTTTCTCCATCTCCTCCTAACCCAGATGTCAATCCCATTTTACAGCAGTGGCACTATGCAGTGTTTGTCCTTTTGTGACTAAGATATTTCACTCCTCAATGTCTGTCTTCTACCTGGTATCATGGACAAGACACTACTCTCTCAGTTCCTTCAGCAGCTCTGTGGCCCCCCGGCGAGACTGATAGCCAACAACAAGAAGGTGACGATTAATTACTCATTTCCAAAAATGTAGGAAATCGAAAACTTTCTGGGCATTAAACATTATGGTATTACCACTCATGGTATTACCTTTAGGGAGCTGTGGTGGCTTAGTGGTAAGGAGCTACATTTCCAACCCAAAGGCATGCAGTTCAAATCCACCAGCTGCTCATGGGAGAAAGATGGGCAGTCTCTTCCTGTGTGATTAACTGCCTCTGAAAACCCACCAGAGGGTCAGCTATGGGTCAGTACTAACTCGATGGCACAAAACAACAACAAGCATTGTGACAGTGTTCAAATAGCACCACAAATTCTGCAACCATGTCCCCTCTAAAAGGCAGAAACTATTTTACCTGCCTGTGAATGTGAGCTGGGTTTAGAGACTTTCTTCTAATCAATAAAAGGCTTACATACTGTATAATCTCAGTAAATGAGAAGTCTAGAACAGACAGCTGCATGGAAAGAACCGTTTACTAGTGATTACCAAGGGTTAGGGGAAGGGGAACTAGGAAGTTGTTGTTTAAGATAAAATGGATTGTGAAGAGAAAAACAATCGAGTATCATTGTCCCTGTGGGTAATGAACATACTATCACTAAAGAAAGAAAGAAGACACAAAGGTACAAAAATGCAGTCCACAGCAGACACATAGGCAGGCTGAGCAGACACGCACGGAGATGAGAATTAAAGAGAACAACAGAAAAAGTGTGATTACATTATGGCCATTGTAATTGATGTTATGAAACAAAATGTGTATGAAATACCAGTTGACTTCATACACTTTCAATTATAATAAAAAAGAACTCTGTGGAGAATATTTCCACTCTGACGCACATGGATCACCATGACCAGTAACACTGCAAAAACAATTACAATGAGCTTCTGTTTGGGGTGATGAAAAGTCTTTGGAACTGAGTAGTGGGGATGGCTAGACAACATGGTTAATACAATTAACTTCGCTGAACTAATGACAAAGTTAAAAATTGTTGAACTTTTTTGTTTAGCTTGATTAAGTGGAAATATTTTTTTGTATTTATTTTGCCACAATAAAACCCATTTTTAAAAATATGGCAAAAGTGGCAGTTTGTGACTAGGTCATAAGAGGCTTGGCTTCATCCTTGCTCTTTCTTGGATCCCTCGCTCTGGGAAGCAACCAGTCAGTTAACAGCCATGTCCTCGTTCAGCAGCCATTTGGAAGGAGCCACATGGCTGAGGGTCTGAGGTACCAACAGCCATGGGAGGGAGCCACTGTGGAAGGGATCCTATCAAGCTTTCAGATGGCCTCTACCATCTTGACTTTGACCTCATGATAGATTTGAGCCCTCTGCTCCTAGATTCCAAGCCACCAGAAACTTAGTGAAATAATGACTGTTCATGGTTTTAAACTACCTGATTATAGTAGCTTATCAAGTAATAGTAGGTAAGTAATTCTGCCATATGGTTGAGGCATTGGTCTGGAGCACAGTATGCCACCAGTCTACACCACCAGACCTACTTAAATGATTGTTAACTTGGGGTTGGAGGAAATCAGAGGCCAAAATAGGTAAACTCTGTAGGTAGCCTTGTGGTAAAGAGTTGTACTGTCAAACTTAAAGCAGGTAGTTCAACTCTACCAGTTAGTGCTTCTCAGGAGAAGGATGGGCACTCTCCTCCCATGTGATTTACTGCCTCTGAAATCCCACTGGAGGGTCAGCTAGGGCTTCCAACTCATTAGTACCCAACAGAAAACAGTGGTCGCTTCAGGATGGAAAGAGAACAGGTTGAGAAGACTCAGGAATTTCAAGCTTTAGCCACAGGGTCTTGACCCCATCTTGGCCTCATTCCTGGCCTAATCAAATCAGAGGTCCCTCAGGAGAGGGTTCCTGTGCCTGGACAGTTGCCCCAGTCCAGAATGCCATGCTCTCTCATTTCTGTGTATCCAAACCCCATAGTGTCGAGGACTCTCCTTCACAGGCTCGTTATGAGTCGCCTGCGACTCCATGGCATTTAACAACAACAACATTCAGTCCTTGTTCTTCCTGTTGTAAGACGTTTTCCTTCCCCAATCATACCCCCATGGATTGCATCTTCCTAAACTGTAGCTCCGTAAGCAGTGGCTACTTAGGGTGCTGTGGACAGGTCACATCTTGGATTTGTGATAAAATGCTCCTTTCCTCAAAGCCTGGGGCTCGTTATCTACCTTCAGCCCATGCCCACCTCCAGGACTGCTGACTCCCACTGCGGGCAGAACATACGTACCAGCTGTGTTCCCGTCTCAAGGTCCCACACCCTGATTGTTTTGTCATAGGAAGCTGCAAGGATTCTGCAGATAAAGGCACAACATAGGCTTTTAATAACAACAGCAATTCTTTATGCCCATCGTTTCCATTCTTCATAGAAAATGTGTGTCTTTTAAAATCAAGAGTGTAATTCCCTAATCTTTGACACAGTGACTGCAGCAATGGGCTGTGTATGTGAGAGATGATGAGGATGGCGCAGGACAGGACAGGGTTCAGATCTGTTGTTCAAAGCATTTCTATGAGTCGTACCTGACTCAGTGACAAATCAGCAATCTTCTGGAAATGTTCAAGGAAATCCATTGTGTGAAAATACTTTTAAAGTATTGCTTAGGAGAGTTCTGGAAACCTAATCCACAGACCCAAAGGCCTCACCTCACTTTACAGAAAAAAAAAGATGGGCAATCTCCTCCTGTGCAATGTACAGCCCTGGACACACATGGCCTTGAGAGAGACTGAGGTATTGATATAAGATGAAGGTGATCACCATTATTGGATAAAGAGGGTTGATTCATTCTCACCTGCCCTCTAAATAGGTCCCCACCAAAAATTCCCCTCTCCCCAGGAAAGGTTCAGCGTGAACCTGACCTCTGTAACAAGGTGGTTCTTTGAGTCCCTCTGGGCACTGACGGGTCTTGCTTCCATTCTTCAGAGACCTCACCAGAACCCTGGATGGGGCCTATGTGATATGGACAGGAGATCCGATCATGAACAGAGCTGTGAGCCCTAACTCTGTTTATTTCCACACAACTCAACTCATTGCTCTCAAATTGGAACTGACTCATAGCTAACCCTTCAGTGGGCTTCCAGAGGCTGTAAATCAAAGGAGAGGAAACTGCCCATCTTCCTCCCGTGGAGCAGTGGATTTGAACCACTTGCCTTTGGAGTAGCAGTGCAACTCCTTACCTCTAGGCCACCAGAAGCTGCTTTGAAGGAAATAGCAAAAAATAAGGCCCCCGGAATAGATGGTATACCAACTGACGTATTTCAGCTAACAGATGCTGCCGTGAATGTGCTCACCAAGTTATGCCAAGAAATCTGGAGAACAACCACTTGGCCAACTGACTGGAAGAGGTCAATATTTGTTCCCATCCCAAAGAAGGGCAACCCAACTGAGTGTGGAAACTACAGAACAATAACATTGATTTCATATGCAAGCAAGATTCTACTGAAGATTATCCAAAAACGACTGGAACAGTACATCAGCAGAGAACTGCCAGAAGTCCAGGCTGAGTTTAGAAGGGGTTGTGGTACTAGGGATATTGTAGCTGATGTTAGATTGATCTTAGCTGAAAGCAGAGAATACCAGAAGAATGTCTATCTGTGTTTCATTGATTATGCAAAGGCATTTGACTGCGTGGATCATAACAAACTGTGGCTGACTCTGAGAAGAATGGGAATCCCAGAACATTTAATCATGCTAATGCGAAACCTATACTTGGACCAAGAGGCAGTCGTCAGAACAGAGCAGGGCAACACTGCATGGTTCAAAATTGGGAAGGGTGAAGGCCAGGGATGTGTCCTGTCTCCATACCTTTTCAACCTGTATGCAGAGCAGATTATCCAAGAGGCAGGGCTCTATGAGGAGAGGCGTGGCGTTAGGATTGGTGGATGATTTATCAACAATCTGCGTTATGCAGATGACACAACCTTGCTCGCTGAAACTGAGGAGGACCTCATGCACTTACTGCAGAGGGTCAAGGACTGCAGCCTTCAGTATGGACTGAGGCTCAATGTCAAGAAGACAAAAATTCTCACCACTGGACCAATCAGTAGCATCAGGATGGATGGCGAAGAGATTGAGATTGTTCACAGCTTCGGTTTGCTCAGCTCCATGGTCAACACTCTTGGCACCAGTAGCCAGGAAATAAAAAAACGTATTGCGATGGGAAAGTCTGCGGTTAGGGACCTCTCCAAAATACTCAAGAGCAAGTGTCTCTCTGGAGACTAAGGTCCGCCTGATACAGGCTATGGTTTTTGCAATCACTTGTTATGCATCGGAGAGTTGGACAATGACTAGGGAGGACGGAAGGAGAATTGACGCCTTTGAGCTGTGGTGCTGGAGAAGAGTATTGAATGTACCATGGACTGCCAAGAAAACAAACAGATTCATCGTAGAGAGGATTAAACCAGGCTGCTCCTTGGAGGCAAGGATTCTGGGGCTTCGTCTGACATACTTTGGACATGTTGTAAGGAGAGACAGGTCTTTAGAGAGGGACATCATGCTGGGTAGAGTGGAGGGACAGCGCAGGAGGGGAAGACCCTCTATGAGGTGGATTGACTCGGTGACTGGGGTAATCGGGATGGGTGTGTCGGAGGCAATGAGATTGGCACAGGATAGAGCAGGGTTTAGGACTGTTGTACATAGGGTCGCTGTGAGTCGCAAACGACTCGACGGCACATAACAACAACAACACAACAAACTTACAACTCAGTACAAAGTAAGAGAACTATAACACAGTCATCTTCCTTAACCCTTCAGGCACTCAAATATCTTCTTTGATATTTACGGCTTTAAAGGTATCATTACTTCTATAAAGTGTTGTCTCGTTCAAGGGATCGCTACAGCTCAGAAGGCTGATGGTTCCCACTCCACTCACCTGTCTTCCCCTAGGGAAAGACAGCTCGTTTCATTCCAAAACATTTTCTGGCATGTCTAGTTAAAGAATATGTGTGTACCTTTGTCTTCTTATATTTCATGTTCCTGTAACAATGTTTATCCTCTCAGATGGATTTCCAATGAGACAAAGCCCCACGGAAGTTTTCATAAAAATACTTTTTCTAGCTGCTGCTCAGGTAGAAGTCAGTCCATTGAAAGGAGGTCCCTTTGCCGTTTGAGGGGAGTTCTGGTGGCTTCGTGAAGGCTTGTCTCACATTTTCATAAATGGATTTAAGCAAATGCATCCCAGAGGCCTCTCTCCCTGTGCCTCTGCCTCCCTGCCCTGACTCTTTGCAGGTGACAGGCCTGGGCAAGTCACCAGGACACCCTGGCTCCATCTCCCTCTGTGATATGAAGGCCTGGACGAAATCACTTCGGCTTCTCACCCCAACAACAGTCCTTTTATGTAATGAGAGGAAACAAACATCATGAAGAAAAGTTCAGTCGACGCATGCCATATCTTAGCACTTCAACTTTTTCTGGTGTTGGCACATCTATTTGCTTCTCAGAAAAAAAGAGGAGGAAAATGAAACGACAAGAAACAAAAGGAAGTGTGGTTCCTGTTTGCTTCGAACAAAAGGCCTGGTATCGGTATGCCTGGATTCTGACCTCCTCCCCTCTCTCCCCTTCCCGAAATGGGCAAAATGAGGGAAAGGTCACCTTCTGCTGTCAGCCGTGACGCTGCACTCTAAAACAGGAGCGTGGGCCGTCTGCTCAAAATCCCGAATCACCACTCCGTCAACAGCATCCTCAAGTAAACGAGATAGAGAGTGTCACTGTGGCAGTCACTGAAGGCGAACCTCGCTAACACGAGGTCTTGCCTGGTCTCCAGTGTAGAAGTAGAACTCTATGGTCCTATCCCACCCCCCATCCACTCAACTCAACAGGGTACAGGGATTTCCTAACATCGCTCAACAAGGGCAGAAAAGATTTTACCAACCCATGGCCTCAATGAAAAACTCCCCTCTCCCCTGAGCCCCAATTCCACAGCCACCAGATGGAAACTGGCTACTTTTGAGGCAGGGCTACAAACAAAAAGACACTTCAGAGACTAGCAATATGCTTCCAGAGCTTCAGTAAGTTCACACTCTTTGATCCAGAGAATCTACTCCACAGGGCCTCCTGAGTAAGCAGCATAGTCAAAGATCTCTGCATAATAGTCCTCATCCCATGTGGGCACATCCATGGTCACATGTACACTTGGCAGCTGATATTTTACATCTCTATTAGTACATGCTGAACTCTATCTGTGTTTATAGCAGAGTTAACAGGGTGCCAACTCAAGTGACCTTCTTAATCACACCTCCTACCCTGGAAGAATGAGTTCCTAGTTCATGGGCCTTCGGATCACAGGCTCAGGGGCCGTCAGAGCCAAATGACATAAAATCATCCACAAAGACCATGTTATGCATTCTACTCTGTGAGTAGCAGCTAGGAGCATAACGTTTTCAAGGAGTCATCAAAGGTACAACTATTGGTCTCTCCCTGCCCAGAACAAAGATAAGGGAAGAAAAGCAAAGATGTGTCGAAATAATTAGTCCAAAGGACTAACAGGCCATGCAAATATCAACCTCCATGACCCTGTGAACAGATCATCTAGATGGTTCCCAGCTACCTCCGCTGACCACCCTTAAAGAAATCACAGTCGAGGGTTCCAAACAGAGTGGACAGAAAATGATGCTCCTAAATTCAAACGCATAAAAATAGACGGGCTTACTTGCCTGGTAGAGACTAGTGGAACCCCTGAGACCCATCACCATTCTTCAAATCTGGAACAAAGCTCATCCTCATAGCTCAGCTGTCAGCCAAACAATAGACAGGTCTAGGTAGTGGACAGTAATGCCGGAGGAGGAGGGAGGGTCGGACAACCACGTGAAATAAAAAAGGCAGCTCAGAAGAGATAGAGCTCAGAAGACAGGAAGGGCTAGGGTATGAGGGTCAGTGGAAATGAGAAATCAAGGAAGAAAACAGAAGAATGTGGTTACACAGTGGCTATTGTCATTACTGTCCTAAAAAAAAAGTGTGTGAATGGTTGGAGAGACCAGGCGCTGAATGTCCCACAGGGCACAGATCTACAATGAACCTCGCCAACCGAGAGGAGACCAGAGAAGACCTTCACGTAGTGAGGCAGGAAGCACCCGGGCTCTGCCACTGTCCTGATTTCAGACTTCCCCAGAACGGGAGACAGCTCAGCTGATGGTACTTTGTTATAGCAGGTCTACAGAGCTCACAGCATTTCTTTTATATGTTTATGGGCTTTCCAAAGTAATCACAATGATCTCTAATTGTGAAAGGGGGCTTTCAAAATAATAAATCCGATGTTTGGGTTTAGGATACACTTGGGATCAGAGATGAGGCATTGGAGGGTTGGTACATGGGAGAGAAGAAAGGGGATTTTTTTTCTATTTTTTAATCTTTTTTTACTTTGTAATTTTCATTCTTTATTTATCAGATGCACTGTTTTTCAGACCAGATCCTTCCAATTTCCCTCACCCCCTCTCCAATTGTGCACCCCATGGTTAACCCCCCTCCCTCAATGCTTATCCCTCCACTTCCACCTTCCCCCAAGAGGGGATTCTTTTGTTGAGATAGTGAGACACAAGAACGTGTAGAGTTATAATTTAATCATCAACTGAGGGGAGAGTCACAGCTGGGGGTCCAGGAAGAGCCAGTAGAAGAGAAAGAAGAGAGAGAAGAGAACCGGAAAGGAGCAGGGAGGGCCCAGGGGAAACTGGTGTTATGGAGACGGGTGAAGAGGTGGAGGAAGGCAAGGGGAGGGCTGCAGGGGTGTGAGGACTGCCTGGAAAATGGGGCAGGGGGGCGTAGGGTTGAGCAAGCCAGGGATTGAAGATGGAACTCTCAGACTCATTTCCTGGGTTGGTGGAAAAAGAGGCAGAGGAAGTGAGGCGATGGTGGGGAACTGAGACCATGCCACTGGTCGATCACTCATCTTGGGATAACAACCAAAGTGACACTGACCAGTGGACACAGGTAGATACCCCCTTATAAACAAGAACTCATTGGAAAGAACCAGACAGAAACCTGTGTAAGTCTTTCCATGGGCACAAAAGAAGAATGAAGCAGGACAGATCTGAAGGTGGCAAAGCCAAATGCAAAGTCTGTGCGTGATGACAACTGGTGAGAAGTCCCTTTTCCCTGGGGATTCCTTGGCCACCCAGATGGTTGAGAAAGAACTTGCGGCTCTCAGAGAAACCAGCTCTTTTCTCAACAATATCACGAGGTAGAGGTCGGATTTTGTGAAGGGCAGGAGCAGAGAGAGGGAGTGGGTGCAAGTCAGGGTCTGGTAGAAGCCAGACAGACACACAGCTGGTCCTGGGAGACACGTGGAGGCTCAGGGAAGCACAGGAAGGTGTGTCACCACACGGTTGCACAGCTGGAGAATACCTAGTGTATGGCTTCAACCCATTTTGACAGTCCCCAGAGTCCTCTTGCCTGGTCTCCCTGGACTTGGCACCCATTGAGGACGCAGAATATGTTCCTCTAAGGTCAACTAGAGGGTGAGGGGCTATCCTGTACCCAGTTAGACAAACAGAACTTAAGAACTTCTCTGCCATGTCCTGCTCCTGCCCTTGAAGCCAAAAGAAATGGCCAGCGTCCGCGCTGACTGTCCATCCCTTACAGGCCAGTCCCAGGCCCAGTCACCTTCCTATCCACTCAAGCCTGGCCGTGTGGTCTCTGAGATAAAAGAAGGAGATCATGAAAAACAGAACAGCTAAGAGACCCCAGGGCAGACCCCAGCCAGAGACACATCTGGGACCTCCTCTAAAAAAAAGTAGAGGACGTCTAGTCCAGTGGTCTCTATCACCCACTCCCACACTTCCGAAGGGAATTGGCTGGCCACAGTTTAGCTAACTTCATGTTTCTGCCATCTTGACACCAGGGAAGCCCTCAGAGTCCTTTTAAACTGTGAGGATCCTTGTGTGTCCAGGAACTCAGTACTGGGGACTTTCCACATGTTGTTGTTGTTATGTGCTGTCGAGTCACCTGCGACTCATGGCGACCCTATGTACAACAGCTCTAAACTCAGCTCTGTCCTGTGCCAATCACACTGTCTCTGACACTCCCATCCCAATTATCCCAGTCACATGAGGTAACATTTTTTTAATTTTTAAAATTATCATTAATTTTAATGAAAGTTTACAGACTGAGGATTTCCATTCATTCATTGTTGCACTTTTCTCCCT